TCTCCCCCCCTTCCCCCCCGTCCGCCCCCTCCCCCCGCTCTCACCTCCGGCTGCCCCAAGTCCAGGCTGTAGCCCAGCAGCGGCATCACCAAGGGGTACAGCGCGGGGGACTCGGAGCCAGTCAGGTTCACCAGCCGCTGGACTGCCTCCATGATCTGAGGGGGGAGAGATCCCGGAGGCGGGGAGCCGGAGGGGGTACGGAGGAGGCGGGGAGGGGCAGGGGGAGGGGGAGGTGTAACCAGGGGCAGGGAGGGGGGAGGAAGGAGCAGGCGACAAGGGGGGGGGGGGGAAAAGATGAGCAGGAAGGGGAACTTCTGGGGCGATCCCCCACCTCCTTTCCTCTAACCTTGCGGTCCTTACCCCCTCCCCCTTCATATGTATGCCCTCGCCACACATTTACACCGCCCACCCCGATCAACCCCATGTCTACCGGCCCCATTAACCCGTTAACTTTAGGACGCAAAATGCAAAATGCAAACTCCCGATGCCCTCCTCCTCCCCCGTTTCCCTCGCAACACAAAGCAACAACACACAGCACGGCATGACACGCACGGCGCACCTGTATCCGCAGCAGTGTCTGTCCCGCTGCGCGCTCCCACAAAGCCGGTAGCGCCGAAACCAGGGGCATCACGTGCGGAGCCAGGGTCTCGTCACACCGCTGAATGACCAGATTCAGGAGACCAAAGGCCTGCAAGACACGCACGTCATGCCAGAGAGGACAGAGAGGGAACAAAGAGGGTTTGGCTGGGTGGCTGCCTAGGTTAGGTGGGGAATAGGGGGAATAAGGTACTTTCCCACACGTACCCCTCTCCTCCCTTCTCCTCCCTGCTCCTCCCTCTGGGCCCCTCTCCGGGCCCCGTACCTCCCCTCACCTGTTTCTGTGTGTCCAAGTCCTCAGTGCCCCCCATAAGCCGCAGCAGCAGCTGCAGACAGCTGGGCAGCAGCGGAGCAAAGGGGCTCTCCGTGAAGGAGAAGTCGCCCACCAACGCGGTAAGGGCGCCGATGCCGGACAGCGCCACGGCGGCGTCAGGCTCCGACATAAGACCCAGCATGGCGCCGTACAAGGCCGGCCTGGCAGCGGAAACGGCACGACGCGGCACAGTGGCGATGGAGATGGCGGATGGATCGAGAGGGAGGGAGAATCGGGATTGTGATTGTGATGGGGCTGGTTCCGGAGCCTCAGGAGTAGGGTGGGCGGGGAGGGGCGGAGAGGGGAGGAGAGGACATGGCAAGCAGGCCTCCATAAAACCCTCTCCCTTAACAACCCTGTCCCCCCCGCTCGTTCCCATCCCATACCCCGCCTTGCCCCTCCACGTCTCGACTCCCCTTTCGGGGGACGAAACGAAAGAAACGAGCACGAATACGCACATGCACATGCACACAAGCACATGTATATATATGTATATATATGTATATATATGTATATATATGTATATATATGTATATATATGTATATATATGTATATATATGTATATATATGTATATATATGTATATATATACATATGTATATGTATATGTGTGTGTGTGTGTTTGCCTCGACATACGGTCCAAACTCCCTGCCCG